TCAACTTGTTGATCATAACCATCTTGTTTTATATTAAAAAATAATAGATCAGCATCAGCTTTACTTGACAAACATAGTAAACCTTCACAACGTCGAGCGTTGAGCAAGCGTGAACTATATTGGTTATCTGCTGAAACAATGTGTGCTACTGGAATTGAAGATTTCGTTGGCCATTCAATAATAATGACACGGATATATTCAGGTCGTGGATTAAGATAGTCAATGGATTTATTAAACTAAATGATCCAATAAAAAAGTTCGTATGCTAATTCAAGTATATATATATATATATATATACCTGCACATGAATTATTGAATGATAAGATTGTAATGTTGGANAAGCCATTATGTTTAGTTGCATGTTGCTCATGAACTTGTGTATCTTCAATTTGAATGGCACCATTAGCAGTATCGGGTAATTTACAACCTAAACATTAACCTTCTGTGCCGATATTGATGGCACGCTTCGATGATTATCCTTCCTCTTCGTTATGTTCTCTTTCCATTGTTATAATATATCCCTTTCCGGTCTCTCTTCTATCTCTCTCCTATATATACGTGTGGTATGTATAAAGTTGTTACACTCTGGATATGTGAAGAAGCGAATAAACATCATTGCCTAAAGTGGTGCTAAGCTACTCCACCTCTATCCAGTTTGTCTTAATAAATCAACCAGCAAGGGCCATATTTATCGTTACACCTTCCATAAGTGATGTGCGGGACAGAGAATTTTCGTGCCCCGCCAATTTCCGACACCCGTCCCGCCGACCCACGAGTAGTTAAACTGTGTAAGTTCCCCCGCCCGTATGACGCCAGATCGATGATTCCGGTCTCCAGATCCTTCCGGAATCGGTCTGGAAACACCTTCTTTCTGGTGATTTCCCGCCGGATCCTGCAGGAAAAACAATAGGAAATGGAAGCAGTATTCCACCCGGAAAAAAACCGTACCCTGAACCTTTAACTTCCTCGCAAATCCAGCCATAGGAAACTCTAAGGAACATACAATGATCCTAGAGAAACAGGGAGGAGGAAATCAGGAATGCCAGCGGAAACCTTCATATCCAAAATGGAAAAGCAAAGGATACTAATGGGACAAAGCGGAAGCATAATGGAATGCACCATTCTGCATCCTAAAACAAATATGAATGATCTACGAAAATCACTAGAGATCTTTCCACGAAGAAAAGCTGCAATTCAAGCTTGATTTAACCTCGAAATCATGATTTTACTAATAAAGATTTTTGAAGCTGATTTGTTCTATTTACCTTAATTAGATGATATTCTGCTGATGGAGAGTACAACACTGATTGTAAATGTTGCTCAAGGAAGATCTACAAGAAGTTCAAAGTCCTATGTCGATTCTTGTTTTCAATTATCATCGATTAATATTAGAAATGGGGTTGGAACTTTGAATGCTCACTCATGTGGATAGATTGGTGATCTTCAGAGTGTTCATGTATCGCTAGGTCAGTTTGAACACGGCTTTAGTATTTCAATAATTTTGTTTTGAGCGCTTTCGTTTTTGACATATCTAACTCGGTTGGATTCAGAGAGAATGGTTTTTCTGCTCCTGTGCCTACCTGTCACTTTCCGTTCGTATTTGTGACAGGTGTGCTTGAAGACCTTTAAAATGATAAGATTTGAGTAATTTGTCGGTTTCTAGACTTTCCAGATATTGGACGTGTAATTTATTGTTTTTTATGGTGTTTTGAACTCTGGCAATTAAATTAATTTAAATCAGCTCAGTAGTGGTTCCGTTTGCCTAGTTATCGTGCATTGTCGTGTGGGATTATCCGAGCTAAATAATATCTTCCGATTTGAAGACACAATTCAATAGTCTATCGTGGTCTCTACTCAACTATTGCTCTCAGCAGTGGGTTGTGAGTTGTGCAATCTCTTACGTGGTATTTTGTATCCAGTCTGCTTGTTTTCACACTGCTGTTAATTTCGTACTCCTTAAAACTTCTTTTCGCATGACTATCATGCCCAATTTAGTTCGCTGTTTTGAAGAGAGCCAAAATCTTTATCAATGCTTGTATGGAATTGCAATTTTTGTTTTAATATTCCATACGTTTGAACATTGAATATACAATTGTATTCTAGAGATTTTTTTGAGAGAGCGATCCAATTGGTCGATTGTAATGTATTAAAGTCATGTAGTTACAAGAAATACGTTTTCGAATAGATTCTATCGTTTCCGGTTGCGAGATTAAACCGTCAGAAAGAAAAAAAGAACGGTTGGATCTGGGCGTTGCGACCGAATCGGAAACGGAAGGAATATAGTTCGGATCCTGCTCCCGTGAAAAGGCGTCGGAACCCTTCTCAGGAACCTTGCCGAAAACGGCGGCGATATCCTGGTATTTCATCCGGTTGCAGGAATCAGCAGGAAAAAAGCCGTAAATGGTAGCCCTAACCGGTCCCGGAATACTGCTTCCATCTTTTTTGTCGAAATTTCACCGAAACCAACAGCTTCCCGCCGTACCGTTTGGACCTGGGGGCTTTCACCCAGGTTCATACCCAAGTTCACACCCACACCCTCAGGAGTTGAAAAAACAAGTCATGCAGGCTGTGAGAAAGAACAATAACATACCTACAGCGTCGTCCCAGTTTGAAAGATTGTAACGCTTACATGACGGCTGTGCACATTTCAATTATTTATAAACATGAAATTTTCTATTGTAATAAAATCGAAAATATCATATATCCATGGATACAGGTACAACTTGTACTTACATCATTTTCTATCTTCTACAATGCACTAGCATGTAATAAGATCCACTAGCTTTTACCCGCATGTACTTGTATGTATTGATACACAAACCAAATATCGGCAAGAAATCGAGAGGCATTACTCTTAGAAACTGATGTTGGCATCTTGTAGAGCGTAGTCGAAAATGTATGATGGCATACATTGTTTAGGCATAAATGTTTTATATCGCATTTAGCATTTGGAGACAAATATATCACTACTCAATAATGAAAATTACCTGATTTGAACCGATAGTAGAAGCACCAGTTAGCAAAATAATTGATTTTCGATGTTATATTTCATGGGCTAAAACCGGTCCATTATTTAAAACATAGGATATTTTTATGCAATGAGTTCAAGGTACTGGCATAGCCCCGAGTTTTGTTGATCAATTTTATTTGATTTTTGCCTCATTTTTTTCATCTGGATACTTGCTATTATTTTATGTAAATAGTGCACTAATTTTTAAACATACATTTTCATTCACCACTTTGTCAAATTTAATCAAAAAGTTTTCAACTGAAATCAATCTTCTACTATACTCCAAGAGATGGATGAAATGCAGAATTTTCAATTGATCTTGAGAACTTTCTGGGCTAAGCCCACTGAGAGTGTGAAAATTATTAAAAGAATCATTATTCTCTTAATAATTGTATGATACTAATATTGCCGAATTAACTAAAAACATCGCACCCAATCCAGCGTTGGAGGTTGCACGATTGAACACAACTAAGACAAATCACGTTTATCAATCTAACAAACAACTGTACTCGTTAATAGTTTCTAATAGAAACATTATTTCACAAATATTCTACTCGTTAAATATTTAGATTTCTTTATTTGAATCAATGACGATAATGAATATTTTTATTTGATGTTAAAATGTGTGTCGATGTTTGACCACTAGCTTTTAATCGTTGATATTTTTCACGATTGGTTGATGATAAATTCGATAGTTTCTTATATTCATTCCAGAGTTCATGAATAACTTCACTTGTTAATAGATCACTAATATTTTCCGATATTAATCTCAATATTAATATACCATCGGCTGATAAATAATCAAATATAAAACGTTTAACAAGTAGATGCCTTTTAAAACGTTCTTTTTTCGAATATAAATCTAGATAGTTCGCAATGTAAGAATAATTAAATTGATGAAAACTACTACGAATTATTGTTAATAAAACACTTTTTAAATTTGTTATCGTTAAAAAAACTAACCAAAACCAAATAATAGTAAAGATTTTTTCATTAAACACATTCATCGGTAATAAACATTGAACCTAAAATAAATAAATAAATAACAATATTATTCTAATAATATATTTTACTGTATAAGCGGTTGGTTGACCAATTTTAATAATATTAAAATCACAATAGACACTCAATGGAAATATCCTTGAGCCAACAATATATTCACCACGACGAAAATTTTCAATAACTTCAACACCGTAGAGAATTGAATTTTTGGTTAATAATGCATTTAACAAAAATAATTGTAACGATGAATTAATTAGAAAAAGTATTTTAACAATAAGAAATAAATTTGCAAGATAATAACCATGAAATGGATTTTCATTTAATAATAGAAATGGAATACAAAATGTTTTAAAGAATTGCATGTTAGATGTAAAACCACTGCTATCAACGCTTTCAATCGTTGATATACGGTTATAATCATGTTGTTTAGCACGTGCTAATAAATTAAGCATGGCTGTTATATGATGAACTCTATAGCGACTTGTTCGATAATCGAATTTCGGTGATAAACAATGCTGTAAATTAATTCCACAGCGTGAACTAAAACTACTCCAAATTAAACGTGGAATTAAAAATAGCAACGATTGAAAGGCAAGTAATATTGGCAACCATTGATAATAATAAATTGAACGTTTACGACGCATATGAGAATTACTTAATGTTGGAATTGTTTCATTCATGGATATATAATAAGTATTGGTTACATAACAATAATGACGCGTATACGAAACAAAATTCCCTAGAAACAGATCAAATTTTTTCATGAGAAGTTCATAGCATTCTCCAAGCAATTTTCAAAATGTCATGCTATGTCTTCGTGCTCACAATGATAGAAGTCATCATTGATCCTTACAGGCACATGATCTTTATCTTTCTCTATACGTATTAATGAATCTGTGAATTACCTGTAAATTCACCGGGTGTCCAACAAATAATTACATCGGAAATAAACAAACGTGACGTAAGGATGGCCGAAAATATCAATAACATAAGAACAGTATGACGATGGTTTAGACGATTACATGCATCATCGTCAGAACAACCAAACCATGAGTGACGCGTATGCGATAATTCGCTAATACGATGAACTACATCAGCCATAATGTTAACAATAAACGGTCGTCTTTTTAATCTCACCGTTAAACTCAATAGAATTGATGTTGCATAAATAGTAGAAAAAAAAGTGACAATCACGAAAGAGATAGATAGATAGAGACAATCTGTAATGTGTAAAAGAAGGAAAAAAAAGTAATTTTTTTAAGTGTGTCATTTCCGATTGTAGATCATTTTGATGCTCATATATGTATATGATAGGGTGTTCTATCTATTTATTTCCCTTTCCTTCATTTTCTCTCTCTCTCTCTCTCTCTCTCTCTCCCTGTCATCATCATGATAGAAGAGAAATAGTTGCTTATAGAAAAAGAGAATCACATAGAAGTGCAAAATTGTATGTCTAATGTAAACTTATTTTGGATTCACTCATTCTCTTCATGGCCAGGTAGTGATTAATCGGGGGAAATAATCTGCAATCAAAAGGCCATTATCAACATTGCGAGGTAACCCTAGGTAATTCGTCAGCGAAAACTAAGTACAATGCATATATTTGGTCAATGCGTGTTCAACAGATCGAGATTCCGGCTATAGACACACACATGCATGCATTAATAAAATAGAAAGCTCGTTTGTTCTTCTTTTTTTTTATATAACTCTATTGTATTCCGCATTGGTTCTAATTTTGCTATCACGTTTGTGCCAGTCTTCCTTCTCTTTATTTTTTGCATTCTAGCGCTATAGAAATTTGTTTGTCTTCATCAGACACATCAGTTTGGTTCATTATTTTATGAGTGTTGATAAAAAAATGATGATGTTAATAAACAACACAAAAGAATAAAGGAAATAATAATACTTTTATCAAAAAATTCAATTATAATTTCCTTATAAAAACAATTTCCTGCTCACTCTATCGTAGAATCATTCATAATAGTGATGTCATTTTCAGGAAAAAAAATATATTGATTAAAGAACAAAAGCGTCTAAGATATTTTTTGAAGAAAAAAATATATAAAAATAACTTCTTCATACCGAAGGTTTCGATCTCTTCTAATTCATTTTCTATCCCAATATATTCACAAAAACAAAACAAAAAAGCTTCCATAGATAAAAATGATAATACGCTAAATAAAGAATATTTAGAATTACAAATAAACATTATTGATATTAAGGATTTTTTATTTTTCTCTTTATCAGAAAATAAATTTAATCGTCTTGAGTAAGTCGACGAATATTGTGTTCGGTTCGTTGGCGACGTGGATGATCGCGAGGAAGAACTTTTTCGTAGATAGTCAATGCATGTTGATAATAGTGAAGTGCCATTTTTTCCTTGTTCAAATTTTCATAACATATGCCAATATTATTTAAACTGTGACCAATATCGACATGACCAGAGGGATAAGATTTTTCTTGAATAGCCAATGCTCGTTGATGATAATCGAGAGCTTCATTCGATTTCCCTTGATCGGACAGAATATTGCCGATATTGCCAAGACTTTTAGCAATATTCGAATGGCCAGATGGATAAAGTTTTTCTTCGATATCCAATGCTCGTCGACAATATTGAAGAGCTTCATCGTGCATACCTTTATTACGAAGAATAATACCGATATTGTTAAGTGTATAGGTAAGATCATCATGACCAGACGGATACAAGCTCTCTTCAATTTTTAATGCATGTTTATAATAGTCGAGAGCTTGTTCGTACTTTCCTTGTCGATAGAGAATAATACCGATGCTATTCAGACTTCTGTAAATATGCGGATGAACAGACGGGTAACATTTCTCTTGAATTTTCAGTGCTGTTTGATAGTATTCAAGAGAATCGTCATATTTTCCTTGATTATCAAGAATAAGACCAATATTATAGAGACTTTGAGCAATATCGATGTGTCCCGGTGGATAAAATTTTTCTCGAATTTCCAATGCTCGTTGATGATAATCGATAGCTTCATCGTACTTTTCCTGATTAGCCAATAGACAACCAATATTATTCAAAACATGAGCTGATTCTAGTACTCGTGCTGGTTTATAATTCATCATTCGTTCGTACGCATGATTATAATATATTCTAGCTTCATTCGATTCTTTATTTAAAGCAAGAACACGACCAATATTAAATTCAATCCAAGCACGATCTTCATCATTTGCATCATTGAATAATTGTTGAAAATATCGTTTTGATTTTTCATATTCGCCTAAACTACACAATAACCGTCCGACAATAATCGTAAGATTCATTTCTTCTGTTTGACGTTGTTTTAATTCAATAAAATGTCTCATAGCCATTTGTCCTTGATCGGAAAGATTCATTTTGATTATTTTCAACGAATCACAATCGTCAATAGACTCAATTTCGAAGCACGTATTGAAATCGAATAGTACTTCGTGTTCATCGTGATCGTCACTTAATTGATCGATATTACCGAAAAGAATATTTTTATCCATTGATTTAATATCACATTGAATATGCAAAAGAACAGAAATCATATCGGTTTTTCGTGCCGGTCGTTTAGCACAATCTGCGGCGGCTTCCATCTGTCGAGTAGTTAATAAATATCCATTTGTTGAAATAAGTTTACCTTGATTATGTTTAATTTTATTAAATTCTTCCTTATCAAGTTTAATGCCTCGATAAACATTTAAAATAGTTTCATCCGACTGTAAAATCTTCTGTTGTTGACGTTGAAGATTTTCAGTGAGATCAGCAATAAAAAATCGAAATTGATATAGGAAATTAATATCACCGACTTTCAATGCCTTATGAATGAGTTTTCTAACAAACGATTCTTTTAAATACCAACGAATAGCATCTTCCGATTGGTAATGTTCTTCGAATTCCCGAATCAATTTAGTTTCTTTTGTATTTCCACGATAATAATCTTTACATAATTGAATTGACTTTCGTTTTGCTTGTTGATTTTGTGGAAGCTGAACAATAAGATAGTGAAATAATTGAGCCCATAGAAATTTTGCAGATTCTGGAGATAGAGCTTTCGTTAATATTTGATATTGATCAAAAAAACAAAATGATTCGATTTCGTTATTAACACGATCGATTTGTTGTTTTATTGATTTGCATAAATCATCAAAATTAACATAACTACCAAGTAACTTTGGGTATTCACTCAATAGATGATCATATTGTTGGTTATCTTGACTGAAGATAAAAATTGAATCGATTTGTTGGAAAGAGCTAATTCTTGGTAATATTTGCGATGCTTTCAATCCTGATGTTATTAACAAGATTTTTTCTTCATTAATTAATTCAATTTGTCGAATGCATTGCTCTATATCAAATGAATAAATAACATAATTATTAATAATACGAAGTTGTTCTTTCGATTTTTCAGAATTTTCAAGTTGTTCTATATTTGGATCGAAACAAATAAGTGTTGTACTTTCTTTATTTTCATCTGCGTTTATAATGAATGATGGTTTTCTGTCTGATAACTGATAGGCCATAGGAAATCGATTTTTATTGATGACGATTTGATTTGAAGTAAAATGAGCTTCGAAGGTCGAATCAACTCGTCTTATGATATCAATATAAAAGTGATACGTGTGTCGTTTATCGTTCTACCTGTTCGCTCTTTACGATAGGATATACTATTGTCTTTTCTCTTCTTTTTTTTTTATCAGTAACTCAATATCACACGGTGTTAGATATGACTCAGAGAGGACACTAGTCGACGTTGTTGGTTGATGAGTGAAGATGAACTTTTTCTTAGCATGACTATTGGCTATAGAACGGTAACCTAACAATGTTCAACTAAATCATTAGAATAAAACAGAACTTTCGAGAGAAATGTCGCGTTGATCTACGCGAGTGGTGCCAATATTTCTTCAACCAAAACTCTGTTATTACTAACTCTATGATGATATTTATATGTACATTGTCTTGGATTGCAAGCGTTAAAAAAACGTTTCATAAGATACATTTCTCGTCCAAGATTTTTATGCAGATTTTTGAACAAAAACATGAAAATGAAGACTGAAGGATCGTATCGAACTGCCATAACGAGAGACAAGTATCTCACGCGTACAATATCATCAAGGCTATCATCCATAATAGCATATAATTTTTCCTGCAATCTGATATCGGTCCCTTAGCTCAGCTGGTTAGAGCGCCGTGCTAATAACGCGGAGGTCATGAGTTCGATCCTCATAGGGACCAGATTTTTTTTTCTTTCATGCGAGGAAAGAGAAATACAAAGCATTTTTTTAACAAAAAACATTTTCTGTATTTCGAAATAGAATAAAAATAAAGCGAGAAAATATAAATTAGCAACTATATTCGTATCGCCACTCATCGTTGTGTTATTGAAACGGTTTTTCTTGGTTCGAACAAAATGCCATTATTGTGATAACCATGTATATAGGCTCATCAGTAAAAACGAATTCTTAAATACATTCTAAATAGTTTACGGTATTTTTGCTAAGTTTAAAACTGCGAGTGAATCAATTGTTTTGTACTATCTTAATTGTCTCGAACATACTCAAACACATCATCCATTTACGATAGTGTTATCATATATTGTACAAAGCCGATTATGATAATATATATGTTGCATAGCGCCACCATGTATCAAATATATAGATGTCGTCATCTTTTTTTTAATCTGAAATTATATCATATTGTATTTAATAAATAAAAGAATTTTATTGTTTTTTTTGAATTACCGGAAAAACATTCATTCCTCTATCCATTGACGGTAACTATAGAAACAGGGTCAGACAAGAAAATTTAATGAGAAGAATTGCGGTTAAGAAAGGAAAGAAAAAGATTTAATGGTGCTAGAAGTTGAATCATAAAAGAAGAATTAAAGATGGAATTTAATTCGGGTGTTAGTATGTTTTTACCGGATTCAATCGGTCTGAATGAAAATGATTTCGATGAAGAAGACCATGAAGATATTGTTCATGAACAAACAAATCAAAATGAAGTTCGTTTATTAAAATTTTCATGTCAAAATATCCTAGTCTTGTCTTTTTCTTAAACAGATCGTTGAATTAATTATGGCTGCTTTTGAAGGACATGAAGAGCCCTCGGATGGTGATGAAGAAGAAGAAGAAGATGACGATGACGACGACGATGATAATGAATCATTAGATACGTCTAATTCGAGTCATCAAGTTAATAATGAACACGAACTATTAAATACAAATAATAATAACAATAATGCTAATGAACATTATGTTCAACAACAACAACAACAGCAGCAGCATGAGTAAGACCTTAGTTTTGCAGTTTGTAAAAAGAAAAACGAGGTAGACAGATGATTTGTATTCCAAAAAATAGAAATATTAACAATCATTAAAATATGTACTAAAATGAATAAAAACATTTAGAAATATATATTCTCTCATTAATTAAGAATGCATCGTCGGAATCATTTATTTCAACAGCCATTATATTCTACTCCAGCTGTCTCTACTCCTCCGCCATTAGTTCCACCGTCAGCATCAACAGATGTTCGTCGAGTATGTTTCAGCATCTACCTTTGTTCTTTTTTTTTTTATCTCGTCTCATCTCTTTCGCCTAGTTTGATGATCATAATCAATATACATATCCACGATATCAGCAATTCGATGAACATAATAATACTGAACAAGAAATTCAATTTAGCTCAAAAAATTCTGCTCTAGTTCATTATCAAAATCCTAATCGTCAAACGAATAATAATAATAATAATAATAACTCAGTATCGACAGGTATTCAATACTTTGATTCTTTGCCAACAATCGATTTAATCGATCCTATGCAAGCACAATTTATGTATCAAACTTCGTCCAGCAACTCATCTGATCTGCAGAATCAATTGAATAAATTTCGTATTTTATGCAATGTGAAAGAACGAAAAATTACTGAACTGGAAAATCGTTGTACCGAATATCATGAAAAATATACTAGTGATCTACGTGTTCTTAAACATAAAATTGAATTAAGCGAAAGTAAACATAGAATGCCGCATTGGGCGTTTTTAAATGATCTATTTTTGTTGTTTTACCAGGAGCTAAATATGATTGTGAACAACGTTATCAATCAATAACAAGACAATGCGAAGAGTTAATTGAAACTAACAATCAATTACAACGGACAACGAAAGATGCAGAATTAAGAATTCAACAACTGGAAGGAAATAAAACTCAAGTAAAATCAATTTTCGGTAAAAAAAATAAAAATGAAATGTTTTTTTCTTGTATAGCTCGAAAAGAAATTAGATGATGCAGAATCATTAATCGATTCACTGCATAGAAAAGTTAATGAACTACAAAGATTCGAATCTATTGCGCGTACTCAACAAGATTGTGAAATGATTTTAGCAAGTACACGTGAAAAACACGAGCAAGAAATGATAAATATGAATGAAAAATTGCAAATTACACAAATGAATTTACAAGAAAAGGTTTGAATTAAGAAAACAATTATTCATTGAAAACAAGATTTTTTCCTCGCGAATATTTAGACGATTGAAGTTGATGAATTTCGTATTCAATTAGAAACTGCTTGTAAAAATAATGAAAAAGTAATAATTAAACAAACGAATTGAATACGTAGATTTTGTTTTATAATTCTAGGCCATCTTCGAAAGAATGGAAACAATCAGTCATTTAAATCAACAATTGCATGATTGTCAACGACAATATACTGATTTGTTAACTACGAAATCAATGGATACATTTAATCAAACAGAAACAAAACGACAATTAAATCGTATGACTGAAGATAGAGAAAAAATCGAAAATACTTGCCAAGAATTACAGGTAATTCAAAACTTCTTAGCATTCTACGAACGCCATACCTGATTATCTATGAAAATAAATTTACCAACTTCTTTTGATTTTCGTGAAAAATAACCGCAAACTTGTAGTTACCTTTTCTTTATCTGCTTTTTCTTTAATATGTAAGATAACAAAACGAACGAAAAACAAAGAAGAGCAGTGATGATAATATAGTGCTATCATGATGATGATGACTACATGGGTAGGTTGCATTCAGTTAATTAAAAGTAAAATCCTGAAAATTTTAGTTTTAAGTGGCGCAATCGGTAACTCGATGCTTATGACATTCTCTAATTTTTACTTCGAATTGGTAATTTTTCTACTTTTTTTCCAATTTAATCTAGGCTGAAATTCGAACATTACGCGAACGTCTTGGAGTATCAGAACATGAAGTTAATAAGGATTTGTTTGGTATATCAAGTATTTCTGTTAATGAATTATCAAGGTTTGATAGAATAAAAAGACAAGTATTTTCTCTAATAATTTTCGATTTAGTATGAACCGTCAAGTTGTGCCACACAATTCAACGAGTCTCGATGATCCAAATGAATCTTTACTGAACGAAAATCATAATTTAAAAGAACGTATTGATGAATTTGCATCGAACGAAAGAAATCTTATTCAAATCAATGAAGAATTGCAACGTCAAATTCATGAACTGTCACACAAAGACACGATTAGCTCCGATGAGACAATTATTACGAACAGTATTCATATGGAACAAATACATAGTCTAACAACTGAAATTGAAAAACTCAAAAAAGATTATGCCAACCAACAAGAAAAATCTGACTATGACAAACATGAACTGCAAACAATTATCGAACAATTGCGTGAAGATATTGTTGATTTAGATAAAACAAAACAACTTTATATCGGTATGAAATTAATGCGGGCTTTTTCCCCTGAGAGAGACGAACTAAAAGTACTCTGATATGTACGCGGATGAACATTAATGAATTGCCGATCGCTCGATACAGTTCGACTGCAGAATCCCCGTATTGATATTTATAGAATAAAAAAATCGCAGTTTCAAATTCTGATTTTTGTTTTGTTTCATTAAGATGTTTGCCACGAGAAAAATCTCATTGAAGATAATCTTCGAGCGAAATTCGAACATGAAATAAAAGTCAAGTTAGATGATTTACGTCGAACACTTGATAAAGAATATAACGATAAAAATTTATCTTTTAAAAACAATGTTGAACAAGACGCTGAAATGCTCAAAGCAAAATATAATGAAGATTTAGAACAACAAGCAAAAGGATTCCATCAAGATATTGAACGAATGAAAATCAATCACGAAAAACTGATTAATGAATTAAATATTGAACTTGATCGACTTAAAGCCAATGGTAAGTTTATAGAATCAATTTTTCTTACACGATGCTGCATTGAAAACCTCGAAAAACTAAACGTCATGCTAGGAGATGTTTGTTTGAAACAGTAGCCTTTCAACAGTATTCAAATCGATACTACTCAATTTTTGACTATCACATATAAATTTGATGAAACCCTCGAAATTCGATACAAACGTTCTATTTGTTCATTATTCATATCAGGGTGTCTCGTTTCTAACAATAGCAACGCTTGCTATTCAGTTGAAACCATATAAATCAAGACACGATATGTAGAACGTGACAACAGAGATAGCGAAAAATCCTAGTCAACAATTCAAAAAAAGTTGGGTTTCCGCTTGAACACAGCATTCTCGGTAAATTAATGTTCCACATCAACTAAGCATACGATAAAACATACTGTAATATAGGCTGGAAGTTGAATAACATGATTTTTTTGTAAAACAAACAATTTTTTTTATTAATAATTTCATTTAGATGATGCACACAGTCGTTTAGTTTACGTTGAAAAAGAATTCGAACAACTGAAACATGATTATTCGGATTTGAATTTAAAACAAAAAGAATTGCTAGTTAATTGTAAAACACTAGAAGATGAAAATCAAAATTTTCTACAAACAATAGAAAAACTGGATCGGGAAAAAAATCAATTGCAAGAGACCTACGAAAAAACTGAAGAGCAATTATCGAATGAAATCGTCCTATTGAATGAACTAATAGAAAAACAAAAAGATGAATTAAATCATTCCACCAGACAAACAGATGACGTTCAAATAGATTTAAAACAAACTGTTGAAGCTTTACAAACTCGTATAAACAATTATGAAAATGCTGTTAGTCAATATGAAGAATATCGTTTGAAATTAGAAAGTAATTTACAAAAAATAACTCAGCAACGTGATACAAATAAAATGGATTTGAGATTAACGCGGGAAATGTTAACAAACAAAGAAAATGAATTCAATCAGTTGAAAATACAATTCGATGCATTAGAAAAATCTTTTCAACTCTTCAAAGAACGTTCATCACAAAATGAGCCAACAATAAATAATTTACAAAAACAAGTTCAACAGTATGAACAACAAGTTTTAGAATTAAATCAAACAAGATCAAAAGATATACAGGTAAGGGGTTTACTACTCTGGTGAACGATGTTTGCCATAGAACGAGCCGAAACATTGTCAGCTCTTTCGCGTCTTACTTATACCCTTCAGTACTTTGTAAAGAAAATCTATAACCGTTTTGTATAATTTGTTTCCCCATAGGAAAAAGAAATCACATGTGAAAAATTAGCGGCACTCGAAACAGAAAAAACTCAATATGAACAACGTTTACAAGAAGCCAATCGGGCACTTAATTTAGCTGATTCTCATTTAGAACAAGAAATCGAAAAAATAAAAATCAGTCTTGAACAGGAATATAATCGTCGTTATGAACGCGATCATAAACAATATCAACACGACATGAATCAACTACGGCAACAATTAACAAATGATTTCGAAAAACAAAAAACTCTCATGCCTAATAATCAATCGAATACTTTAGTGCAAGATATTGAAGAAGTGAAAAAAATGTATAGAGCAGAAATCGATCGACTATATCGTGAAAATATTGAATTAAGTCAAAGTCAAGCTAAACTTATTGACTCACATCAGAAACAAATGCAAATTATGAAAAAAGATTTAGACGATGGATATAATAATGTTATCAATGAATTTCAACATGAACAAACTCGTTTACAAACACGTGGTGAACAATTAAAACAACAACTGAGCGAGTCACAACAAACTATGGAGCAACTAAAAATAAGTCATTTTGATGAAATCAACAAAATCAAAGAAAAATATACTCTCGAACAAGATAATAGAAATAGACAAGAAAATTTACAAAATCGTGTTGATCATCTTGTTAAATTGCTTGAGCAAACGAATGACACGTATGTCGAAAACGATTTCTATTTCACTATGCAAGGGATACGGAGTATCTGACTTTTTAGTCGTAATTCTTGATAGACGACGTACTAGATTTTAATTTTGACTTTCAAATTATGATCACAGAGCGGGGAGTACGATTACCCATACTAATTATTGTATCAGTAAGACTAGAAGTTTTCAAACTAGTTTGTAAAAATATACACTTAATCAGGAGTGTCCCAAGCAACCAAATACTGGGGGGGGGGGGGGGTGGCTTATAAAGTTGTATTT